GCCAGCCAATCCACTCCAGCCGCCCTCGAACGTACACTAATAAATCCAGAACAGTCAACCCACCCTACCCTCTAACGCCCCATACCAAATCAAACAACCCCCCCATAGGCACTACGAACCCAACCGGCCTACACCATATCACTTGACCCAGCACCCCATCCACTCCGAACAGCAACTCCTCCTCTCAACAAACTCAGTACCCCCAACCACCCCAACTACCTCAAAAGTCATCCCACAATACCACAACTCCAATCGCCATCGTGCTAAACCACCCCACCCATGCTACATGACCCCCACCAATTACCTTCAATGTGAACAGAACAAGTTCTCCATGTCAAAAAACCACTTATTATTGGAAAACATATGAAACTTTATAACAAACAAATCTTCTCCAAATATATCAAACTGACGACTTTGAAAAAATATGGAAAAGAAAAAACACACGCCAAACTTTTGCCCAAACCAAAACGATTCAAAAATACGCCGTATGGGTTTACAAACACAATGTATGAGACCAGGCTCGATCTTTATCATAACCTCAAAACAACGCGAACTGAATTTGAAAACCACAACTGGCGTGTGACCAACTGCAATCTACGGTACCGTCCAAAACATCCAAACCTTGACCACTTCGTTCACACAAAAGCCAAATTATATTCATAACAAATGAGCTTCTGCACTAACAAAGTGGGATTTTTAAATTTTTGCAATTTTTTTGTTTTACCCGTAATATTGAAGTTGAGATCAAACAAGCCAGTCTTTGGCGCGGCTAGCGCTCAAAAAAAAAAATAAAAATCACATGATATGGGAATACTCGAACAAACGCAATACGTACTACCAGTAAAATTCTACAGAAAGTAATTACACCTCTACTGTACCGACAACTTAGAATCGAACAACCAAGAACTGCAAGTTATAAAAAGGCAGAAATCAGAAGATCACTGCGGTAAGTCTTATTATCACCAGAAGAGGGAAACCTACTATACGAGACTCCATGAAAACCGCGAAACACTATCGACAGCTAAACAATGATGCGAATACTACTACAACACTAGTTCGCTGTTAAAGCAAACAGCGTTACACTAGACAAACGGTCCAATGGACTCATATAATATAAGACGCAAGGATGTGAGATCTCGCAGCAACTTGATTAAGATGATTTCTAAAGGCAAACAACAGTGGATATTAATTTAACAAAATCTGATTGCCCAAAAACTTGCCGAGTCCCTTAATACAAATTTCTTGCGTAAACCCGTACTCATATGTTGAGAAATACCGTCACATTTTCAGGTAGTCATTACCAAGCTACCCTCAGATGCAACGGAGTCACCGCTTCGACGTCGTTTTGTTCTACTATCTTTATAAACAATATTGTTGGCCTCTAACAACTTCTTCAAACGTTCATTCTCCGACGTCAAGTCACCAACCCGATCTTCCAGCTTCCCTTTGCTACGTTCCAGAAGTAACATTTCATGCGTAACCTAAAAAGAAGATAAATAAAATCAGCTTATCAAAAGCCTCTTCAAGCTTGTCCAAACCCATGCCATTTAAAAAAAACGATTTACCTCCTCTCTCGACATTCCCCCGATCCTCACCAAGTTGACGCTATCGTAATCTGCTTCAAATTCCCGTTCAAGCTCATCTTCTTCTGAAGAGACACTGCCAGAGTCTGAACTGTTAACTCCCGGGTCCGATCCCGAACAAACACGGCATCTGAAACCGAATATCGATACAGGATTATCGCTCCCTGAAATCGCGCTGCTTCAAGAAAGAGAAATCAGCGCTTGGAGAAAAGCCTTAACCATCTAATGGGTAAAGAAATACTAGTAACGCGACAAAGTCTCGACGAGAAAGCAATAAAAAAATTGACTCTTTAATATATGAAAAAAAAATAAATAAATAAAAAATAAACTAGACCACTGAAAACACACAATATTCAACCTATCCTAACCAACTAAACATTCTAAAAGCCTACTTATTAATAATTAGTTATACTCAGTTGCTGCTAATAAGGCCATCAAATTTACATACTAACCTCATTGAACCCTGCCAGCCACTGCTGTTAGCCACTGTCACTCCATTCACTGAATCACCATCAGAATCGCCTGTGACCCGCTTCTCCCTATCTTCCAACAAAAACTGCGTTGTGTTATATGGAGCCATAGCCTTTCCGTAAGAAAACAATCTAAACCAACATACGGATAAGATAAATATGCAATTAATAACACTGGAGGTACTGTTAATATATTACCACAACAAGGACAAGGGTGATTAATGAAACAAAGTAGGAGCATTAAGATGTCAAAAGAAAAACAAATACATAAATAAATAACAAATACATAAATAAACAAAACGTACGCATCATACACACCATCATTAACTTATAAGAAATGTATAAACAAACACGAAAGTAACTGTTCAACACAGCATTCTAAGTGTTGCAAAATACGAAAAAGATATTGGTGGTGAAAGGTAAATTTAAATCAGAATTTGAGATTATTATTTCCTTTCGCCTCCTAAGCGTCAACTAAATAAGGGAAAAGAATTCACTAACACTAAAAAAAATATTGAAAAAATTGAAATACAAGTCTAAGCAAGTAATACTGTAGCTAATTTGAATATTAGCAATCAAAGTCAAAGACAAGTATTCGCGAAATCAAAGCCAAAATACAAACCTATCACGCTTCTGTACAGCTTTTCTTTCGTCCCTTTCATCTTTAGCAATTTTTTCTTCCACTGTCAAGTTATGATATGGCTTCCACCGCCCTTTGCCACCACGCCTACAATATTTTCCGATATATCTAACGACACTATTTCAAACGTAACAATTACAAAAGCATAAATTATGAGCTTTGGAAAGGAAAAAAAGTGATTAAAACTTCTCCACAGTCCTTTTAAATTTCGAAAAATTCTTATCGGCACATAATTTCAAAATAAAAAAGAAAAGAAAACGAAAAGGATCAAATGTTTCTTTAACCGCTTTTAAAGTTTAAAATTTATTAGGCAACCTCATGCAAGCTTCATTTGTTTCTTAACTGGGGAATGTACAACTGACAAACAGCTTCAAATTCCTCAGCGACACTGTGACTTATGTTCGAAAAAAAAAAAGAATTGTTTCAAAATAGTCGCAGTAAAAGCTAAAGGGCTGGTCAACTACACCGATAGAAAAATGTTCGGAAAAACTATTTCACCTAATTAACTCGTGTCTTAAAACTCCTCTCACACAACTTCCTCACTCATTCACGGAGTAATCACTATTTCGATCCGTGCTATATGACTGCTGTTTCAAAAATTCTATTCGATTCTGTCAACTGCACAATGATCTTTCCCCGACGCATGATCAAAAAATTGTAGAGCAAAATGGTGAACTTAAAAAGCACCAGCTTACAATACCACTTATAAAGAAACAACAATAACAACGATAGACAACAGCAGCA